TATAACGATAATTTTCATGGTTGCTTTTTATGTACAGTAACTTTTTGTTGTTGCTGCTGCTAATGCTTACAACCGATTAAATAAGTGTGAATTTTACATTACATTAAACTTTTTACTATTTCGCTTAATGGTAGGTGCTCCATAATATTATCGTGAATAATAAGGCAATATGCTTTTGTATTGGCTGAAAAACCGCTGCTACTCTCAATATCAATTTTGATATCAATTGTACCCGATTTTATGGGGCTGTTTATTTTTAAAGAATCAATCACAAATAAAGTTTTTGAAAGTTTTTATAATCCAACAATGAAGTTGTAATTAAATAGTTTTTAAAACTTGTAAAGAATCGAGTATATGTAGTAATAATGTTCTTCGGTATATCTTTGGGTGTCAAAAGAAAGTCTCATTCGTTCATTTGGAGCCAAAATAACAAAACGCGGAGTCTCTAATGCTGTACATGTTTTCACAGACCAAATTTCCTTTGTTCATCCTTGAGCTAATTTAGGTAATTCCTGATATTCCCATTTTCGGAAAGGAATAATTACACTATGATAGTTTTTGAAACTTTTTTTTTCTAACATTGAGTACGCGGGTCTAGATTACCTAATTCAGGGTCGCTGATTTCAAAAATGCCACTTGTTTTGCTCCAGGACGTCTGAGATTTGAAATAATTGCGTAATAAATTGTTCTACCTAATCATCTCAGAATGTAAGATTTTTCGTTGATATTTTGATTATAATTATAATTTTAAATATATTTATTGAATTATTTTACTTTAAATGTATTAAAGTCATCGGTAAACTTCAAATAAAAAATATTTAGCCCAACGATATAGCATTTTCAACACTAATACTAAAATTATAATTTATTTTTTGGAAAAAGATGACCACTTTTTAAATTTTTTTGTCGTTTTAATTGAAAAGGCAACACAGTAAACGAGTTTTGGTTTGAAAATTACTCTTTTTTAGTATATCTTGCCTAAAGTACGCAAAAAAATTGAATCATTGCATACTTTTTCTTTAAGACGTATAACCAACTTGGGGTTATATGCTCCGGCAGCTCTCGTGTTTGGAAGCATAGGTCTGTAGGTCTATCTTTCTCATACTTACATTATGGCCTGGGCGCCACCACAACTTTAAAGAGTATTATAACCTAAGGTTGTGGACTAAAAGTTAAACTCCAAAATTAGTTACTTACTTATATTTTAATTTATTATCATTATAGTTTGACTGTGATATACTATCGTAATACTTATTTAAAAATTAATAAAATTTATACCGAATAGCTATTGGTTTACACGTTAAAATAAAATATATATTAATGTTTCATAATTTACTGCTTCGCAGTGATGTGGTAAAAAAATTATTATTCATAAAAAAATAAATGTTCATTAAAACCTGTTGTTATTCCGTCCAACCTTGGGTGAAATTCGTATTACCATGGGTCCCCGCGTTCAGTGGTTTGAACTTGCATTTATGCCAACCCTTGCGTCTAAGAAGGCAGATACCACGATGCAGGAAACCAACAGCTACGCAGATTCATCCTGTGACAGAATTTCTGTCCTACAATATGTATTCAAGAAAACTTGTGGGAAAACTTGTGGGAAAACTTGCCCCGGTGGGAAAACCCTAATTGGAAAATCATTCGAATGAATATTACTTCCAAACAAAATAAAATGTACTTACGAAGTTTATTCGGTTTTCTCAATAAAACATACTAAACAATATTACCATCAGCGGCTGAATCAAGAGTCCAAACATCGTTATGTAACTTTGCAACTATCTAAGAAATAGGATGACTTAAATAATCAAGGATTATGGAAAATTTATTAGATTGAACTCACCATCCTACTTTTTTAAAAAACCCAAAAAGAGGCTATCTACTTCTATTTTACTACGTGCGATAACTACCAGTATTCATAGTACGGAATAAGTTATTCCAAATAACTAATTACTTAACAGATCGTAATTAAACTTCCGTCAGACTTCACAGATCGTCTATCCGAAAGCACGTTGGCAAAGACCTGTCGACCTCCCCACTCAAGTCTAGAAGCCCTTCGAACAATCCAGAACCCTGGCCGACGCCGCGACCCAATGTTACCACTGTACTAAATACCAATTTACTGTAATAGTACTAGACTTAAATAGCATAATGAATTCAACCAAATAACGCCAAAAAGGCCAAAGCACTCAAAAAGAAGAAAAACTAGATAATTATTAAAAAAACCAAAACCCTAAAACGAAGATTGCGGAACAAACCCACAAATGAACGGTGACAGTTCATGACATCGAATCTGAAGTTTGTGACCTTGCCGCTTTAATTGTTTTTAACAACAAGCCTTTAAGACCAAAAAGAAAACATAAAATACAAGTAAGCAACCTTAATTATTAGAAAACAACCTAATTTACTAAGACACCTTGTCTATACTAAGTTAGGATTCCCAACACAAACTATTTTAACCTAAAACTTTATTTTAGCAGACACAAAACGAAATATGGACCTAATACTGATTGTTTCAAAATTGTACAAACAAAACACACAAATCTACAATCACTGAACCGAAATTATGCCCTACACGTATTTAGAAAATAAATCATAAGGTGAATACCTCAGTAAATTAAAAATAAATCAAACCTTTCTCGGCTATCATAAAAACTAAAAATAAATTAACCCTTTTAGGTCCCGTTAACTACAAAAATGAAGTCGTTTACCGAAAGACTCCATAGCAGAGATAAAGAAATAAACTAAATAATAATTACCGCGTAAAATACAATATACAGTGTGGACCAGTGAGAGCGTAATAAACCAAATTATACTTATACAGTGTTTACTTTAACTTATTAATAATAATACATGTAGCGTTACTATTTGTAACGTTACATATACCCCCCTTCATAAAAAAAAGAAATGACAATTTCTTTTATTAAAAACACAGACATCAGTACCAGAAATTTTAAAACTTAAACTAACAATAATGGGACGTTAGAATCTCTACGCAATATGTTTACATGAAAATAACGGTGTAAGCTAAATTTTTAAATTTTGACAGTTTTGAAGTTCAAATATATAAATGCAAGTAAAACGTCAGATAATTAAGTTAAATGTATAGCAAATTTTCCTTGAAGAGGAAGGATCCTGACAAATCCAATGAAGCTAGGAACTAGTCCTATAACAAAAAAGGGGAGGCAACCGGTGGTCCTGTATCTGAAACAGGCCAGCCCTCCAACGAATGGAAATAATGTCGACACACATTATTCGAAAGTTCAACGGTATGTCGCCTTGACATACCGTGAGAAAGAAAAATTACTCGGAACGAATTCCGAGTAGGGAAAGGGAGTGCCCCAGTGGCCAGTTGCGCTAACTGGAACCACATAGACTGGACTGGGCTTTGGGTGCTACAGGCGATATGGCTTCACCGTGCATGCCATAGCGACAAGTGCCGGCCTGATCAGAATTTTTTTAGTAAATATACCACCTATGATATATTACTAGAATATTTTACACATACATAATCAAATAATCAAAAATCCAAAATAAACTGTGGTAACTCACAGTGTGGTGAAAGGCACGATGTTGTTCCGTCACCACTTGGATGGGTTTTAGCTACAGGCCGTACGATCTCGCTGTGACTATCGTAGCAACAATTGGTGGGGTTCCAATGTTGGCCTGACGAAACTTATTTAATAAATAAAATAAAATAAAGATCATACTGTACAAAATATTACAAAAAATATCTACATTTTGCGAGCTAACTCTCAGGCTACTCTATTATATACAAAAAATTAGCAGCATCTTATTTGATGGGTAGAGGCTTGTAATTTACGCATACAAAACGTCTAAACTTATTAAGAGACACTTGAACACTTGAGTGTTATACAGGAATGATGTTAAGTCATAATCAGTTTTGGTCAAAATCAGGTAATGTCTAACTCTACAAAAAAATCAAAAATAAGATACTACTTTTTATCGTCATCATCGGTAAAAACGTCACTATCAGAGAAATATGGCTTCAAATCTTTAATATGCCAATTTCCTAAATCACGGCCGGACTCATCTATAAGGGTATACACTAATTTTGACAATTTTTTCTTAACTGTACACAAAATAAAGCGCGGAGCAAGTTTTTGCGCAAAGTCATTTGCTGCATTAGAGAGAACTTTGTTCCTCTTCCAAACATAGTCACCGACACTGAATGATATATCCCTTTTTCGTAGATTATAAGTATTCGCGTTACGCGCATACGCCGCCTTTAGTTTTTTTTCTATATCTTTATAAATCTTGGATAGACCGCCCAGTTCTTCCGAATACTTTACACGACTATTAGTTTCAAAACTGTCATCTACAGATCCGCGATAGTAATCCCCTTAGCAGGGAATATGTCGTCCAAAATTTAAGAAGGCAGGACTATAACCTGTTACTTCGTGCACCGCAGTACGTAATGCGTAACCAATTTTAGAAATATTCAAATCCCACTCGTTGTGGTTTTCTTTAATATAGCTACGGATCGCGGTACCGATGGTGCGATTGCACCGTTCTACAAAGTTACAGTGACTACTGTACCTGGGATTGAACCTAATTTTCACTTTATATCTCTCAGCGAGATTTCTAATTGAATTATTGGCAAAATGCGTACCGTTGTCGCATATTATATACTGGGGAACCCAGTTTTCTTGTTGTTACAATGCGTTGTTAAATATTAAACCTGCATCAATTTATAGTGTTTAAATCGAGGGACTCGAATTATACAACGAAAAAGTTTTAGTTTTGTGTTTAGCATTAGAAACAGTGTAATACGTGGATATCATTGTTGTTTGACAATTTTTTGCTGGCATAGTAAAAACGTATTAAGAAAAAAACTTTCATTTAAATAAAAATAAAAAGTTCGACTGTGGGATTTGAACCCCGTCCGCTTCGTCGTCTTTGGTGTGGTGCTGCGCTCTTTCCAACTGAGCTACTGGACTGTTATTAAATTTACATAAATTATTTCGATTTTATCAATTATGAGTTTTACAAATGAAGATATTTATAATTTAATTAAAGAAGAAAACAAATTATTAAGATCAGAGCTTTGCAAAGTAAAGCTTGAAATAAAAAATGAAATAGATATTCTTAAAAATAAAAATATAGAATTGGAACAACAAGTAACTAATTTACAAAACAAAATTAGACAAATTGAAAAAAAACAAAAGAAATTTAACATCATTGTTTACGGCCTACCGGGGGAAGAAAAAGAAACTAGTGCCAATTTCTTCAAACTTCTAGACGATTGTTTTAGTATTGGCTGTAGCAGTAAAGATATAAGAGATATTTATAGAATCGGAAAAAACACTGGCAATCCTCAAAAACCTAGACCAGTTCTATTAGAGCTCATAAGCTACTCCTTGAAAGTGGAGATCCTAAAGAAGGCAGCTGATAAAATTGAGACTCTCAAAACGAAGAACATCTCATTAACTCCCGACTTTGAGAGTGAAGAATACCAGCAAAGGAAACTTCTTTACAAATACTCGAAAGAAGCTAGGGATAAAGGTCTTTCTACCAAAATATTAAAAGGAAAAATTATCATCGACAAAAAAGAATATTCTTACGAAGAATTACTTGCAAAAGAAAAAAAAACAAACTCAGCAATAGAGGGACCTAGTTTACCGGAAGTTGTAGAGAAACCTAAATTTAATACCACCGGAACTGTGACTCTAAGATCTAGAAACGTTAAAAAATAACTCTACTACTTAATTAAAGTGTATATATAGTTTATTTGAAATTATAGTTGTTTTGGATTATTTATAGTTTTTAGTTTTTTTTGTATATTTTGTATATTTTATGAAGAGGTTAAATTTTGCGCATTTAAATGCCAGATCATTGAGTGCACACATATTTCAAGTTAGGAATCTTATTCGTGATAATAAATATGACATCATTGCTGTATCTGAAACGTGGCTAAATAATTCCATCCTTAATAATGTAATTAATATAGATGGGTACAATCTTTATAGATCTGATAGACAGAGCCGCGGAGGTGGTGTGTTGTTCTATATAACTAACAAATTACGTTGCAACATAATTACGCTTAATGCAAGTGAGGTAGAGCAATTATGGTTGGAGGTATATTTAAATAATGTTAAATTTGCTTTAGGTGTACTTTATAAACCCCCAGGATTTTGCTGTTTTCCTTGATACCTTAGAAAAAAATCTAGCAGGTTTGTGTGCTGGTTATGATCAAGTAGTGTGTACCGGTGACTTTAATATTAATTTCTTGCAGATTGACAGCCATACCACTAGGCTTAACAATATATTAGAATGCTTCAACTTAAAACAAATAATTAACCAGCCAACAAGGGTAACAAATAGTACTTGTACCCTTCTTGATTACATTATTATTTCTAACAACCTTAATTCCTCTAATATTAAAGTCATTGATATATCCAATATCTCAGATCACAAACTTGTATCTTGCTCTCTAGGTAAAGTTAAACCAAAGTTGGATCCTTTTTTATATACGTTTAGGGACTTTTCTAATCTGGACAGAGACCTTTTGTTGTCTGACTTTGACATTCTGCCATATTGGGATATTCTGTTTTTTCAAAACATAAATGATAAAGTTAACCTATTTAACTCTTTAACTATTAGTTTGTTCAATATCCATGCTCCAATTAAAACAATTTGTTTTAAAAAGAAGAAAGCCCCATGGTTAACTGATACAATTAAACTAATGATAAACATTCGTAATAAAGCTCTTCTCAAATATAAAAAAACTAAACGTGAGGCAAGTTATACTTATTACAAACAACTCAGGAACGAAGTAAACTCTGCAATTAACCGCGAAAAAAGGGCTTATCTTGATTTTACGATAAATAATAGAAATCACAATAATAACACGTGGAAAAGGCTAAAGGAGCTAAATATGCTTTCTAAAAACAAGCAAAACACTATTCCAGAAGCCTTGGGTAACGTTAATGATTTTAACGATTATTTTATAGAATCTAGTAGGAGCAATCACCCGGTGGATTTTGAATGCATACATAGGTTTTATAATTCAACTCTAGATGGAATAAATAACTTTAGTTTTAAATTGGTTTCTAAAGAAAAAATATTTTCAACACTAACGACAATTAAGTCTAAATCTGTAGGTCCTGATAAGATAAGTATTGATTTTTTACTATTATTATGTCCTAAAATTTTAGATTATTTAACGCACATATGTAATTTTTGTCTGGAATATGGTACATTTCCAGATTCCTGGAAAGAGGCTCATATTATCCCTATAGCAAAAGTTACGGATCCTACAGATCTTAAAGACTTACGCCCAATAAGCATACTTGAAAAAATTGTAAATTCTCAAATACGTGAGCATCTTCAAAATAACAATATTCTTCCCGTAAATAAATCCGGATTTCGGCCAGGTTATAGTTGTACTACAGCCCTATCAAATATTATTGATGATATTGTTAATGCTACTGATTCCAATAAATTATCCCTTATGATTCTTCTTGATTTTAGTAAAGCCTTTGACAAAATTAATCATCTACTTCTACTCTCATTACTACATTATATTGGATTTGATCCAGTATCAAGAAGATTTTTTGATAATTACTTGTCTGGAAGATGTCAAAGTGTTATGATGAATGGTCAAATTTCTGAGGCGAGAGAAGTCGTTTGCGGTGTACCACAGGGATCGATTTTGGGACCTCTGCTATTTACAATCTATACATCCCAGTTTGAAAAAAAAATTAAACATTGTAGTGCTCACTTTTATGCGGACGATAGTCAGCTAGTTTATTCCTTTGGCGAATCTGAGACGGATAGAGCTTGTGCAAATATAAATACAGATATTATAAATCTCATAACAATTTCTAACAAGTATTGTCTAGACATCAATCCAACAAAATCTAATATTTTGTTATTTGGTAAAATCGGAGCTAAAAACAGAGTCTTACCCCGAATAAATGTAGTGATAGAAAATAGTAAGTTGGAGCTGGTCAAATCTTCTAAAAACTTGGGCATTTACATTGACACGGATTTAAAATTTGAAACTCAAGTTAATAGCATTATTAAAAAATCTTTTAGTAATTTAAAGTTACTTTACTCTGCTATCCAGGAAAAATAAAACCACATTGTGTGAGGCTCTAGTTTTATCGCATCTCAATTATGGCAATATTCTATACCGTCCTTTTCTTAGACAGCGGGATATCAATAGGCTTCAGCTTATTCAAAATAGCTGTGTTAGACTAGTATTTAGTATTCGCAAATTTGACCCTGTTTCTAGCTATTACAGGGAAATCGGCTTGCTCAACGTAAAAAAAGAGCTCTACTACATAGTTGCTGCTTTTTTCATAAAGTTATACTTTACAAAACACCACCTTATCTTTATAATAAAATAAGATACAGAAATGATATTCACAATATTAATGTCCGATTTAAAAATATTTTATCAATTCCCAAACACAAATCTGAAGCATACAAATCTTGTTTTTCATACCAATGCTGCTATACCTACAATAAAATTCCGGATTATTTAAAAACTTATAAACCTAATAAATTTAAGTCTGCTGTTAAAACATTAATTCACAATGATCTGTTATTATAAATGTATAATTTTTTTCTAATTTATCTAATTTTTCTTAACTACTACGGGAATGTTGTGTTCATGTGTATAATACTAGTTGTTTTATTTTTGGGATATACTTGTTTTTTAGTTTATTTTTATGGTTGAGTGGAAGAGCAGACACTTTAGTCTGAACTCTGCCTTTGACAAACTGTTATCTATTCTTTAGTGTTCATAGAATATTATTTTGTATACCTATGTAAAACAGTTTGCCAATAAAAGCATTTATTATTATTATTATTATTATTATACACTAGAAAAACTTCATTTTCTAAAAATTTACAAACATTTGTAGCATTAGCCTTCCGCATAGGCTGCAATAAACTATATTTAGTAAACCAATCGGATACTACAAATAAATACTGGGACCCGCTCTTTGAACGAGGCAAAGGACCCATAAAATCCATAGCTATAACTTGCCACGGAAAATTAACCATTTTCGCTACCCCCATTAAACCCATCTGCCCAGTGGTAGGAGATTTTTGCGAATTACAAATTTTACAGGATTTAATATACCCAAATATGTCTTTCCTCATCTTGGGCCAATAATAAGAATTACAAATCCGTTCAAACGTTTTGCTATAACCTAAATGAGCAGCAGTAGGGTCGTCGTGATTGGACTCTAGAATTTTACGCCGTTGGGATTTCGGTACCAGCATTTTCCACTCGGTGATATTGGAACTTAGTACAGACTTTGTAGGAACTAATTTATAAACATAATTATCTTTAACTTCGCATATTGACATAAAACTTATCAAGGTGGTCAAGATCAATTCCCAAACATACATCTATCTCGTTTAAATTAACACACGGCTCTGACGGAGCAGGGTCAACTGGGCTACGACTCAATGCGTCAGGAACAACATTATATCTACCTTTACGGTGTACAAAATCAAAATCGAACTGTTGCAACCTAACACACCATCGAGCCAGTCTTCCAGCAGGATTTGACAAACGTTCTAATCACAAAAGTGAAGCGTGATCTGTTATTACTTTAAACTTGATGTTAGAGCCTTCAACAAAACCTCTAAACTTTTCAATTGCGAATATTACCGCCAAGCATTCCCGCTCGGTGACAGAATAGTTACGATCACTTTTGGAGAGAGATCGAGAAGCATACGCTATTACTTTCTCCTGGTTATCAATATTCTGTGTTAAAACGCCCGAGATTCCAACGTCGGATGCGTCGGTTTGTATAATGAATTGTTTAGAAAAATCTGGACTAGTAAGAATCGGAGCAGATACTAGAGCTTGTTTAATGTTATTAAATGCTACTTCGGCTGGGTCATTCCACACTGTTTTTTGTCCTTTGGCTTTGCCCTTAAGTAAATCATTTATAGGGGACATTAAAGTGGAAAAATGCGGAATGAACCTGCGGTACCACGAGCACATACCGACGAACCTCTTAATTTCAGTGGTTGTCTTGGGTTGTGGAAAATTAATCATAGCTGACACCTTGTCCGGATTCGTACGTAGTCCAGATTCATTAACGATATAGCCAAGATAATTCAAAGATGATCTAAAAAATTGACATTTATTATTATTAATGGTCAGATTTGCATCTGCCAATCTACGAGAGATATATGCTGGTCAAAAGATTTTGATGTTATAATAATGTCATCTAGATAAACAAAAATATATGGTTCCAATTCTGGACCGAAAACCGCGTCCATAAGACGTTGCTGCGCCTGCGCCGCATTAGACAGACCAAAAGCCAACACGTTGAAACAGAATAAGCCCCTCCCGGGAACCGCGAATGCTGTCTTTTCTCTCGAGGACTCGTCTAGAGGAATTTGCCAAAAAGCCGATTTTAAATCAATACTTGAAAGATAACGGGAATCACGCAACATATTCAATATTCTATCAACAAATGGAAGAGGATACGAGTCTTTTTTTGTTAAAGCATTTAGCTTACGCCCATCAAAACAAAACCTATATTCGCCATTTGCTTTTTTAACCAGCAAAACTGGTGAAGACCAAGGGCTTTCACATGGTTCAACTACTTTAAGTTCTAACATCTCATCCAACTCCTTATTAAGGTGTGATAGCATATAAGGTGACATGTTATACTGACGCTGTTTGACAGGTTGCGCGTCCCCCGTGTCTATATGGTATACT